ATTGTAATTGGAATCAAAGATATGAATTTGAGTCCCAGTTTTGCTGCTGATATTTGTGTGATGTTGGGAAAGGCATATACAAAATGAGAGAAGATGTTGGATTGGATGAACTCCGTAACCCCCTTTACCTCTAAATGCCAATAATTCTATGTGCACTGCCACATTTTGAACTCTGTTTGACTGATATGATTTGTCTCTCTTTACTCTGAACTGTCTTTCATGTGATTTAGGCATATTTTGCTTATATATATTGAAGCAAAATTGTGCATAATTATACAATTTTATTCTAGCAAATGGTAATGAAAAATATAATTAGAGAGTCAAGAAGACCTGGGTTTGAATCATGCCTCTGGGCCTTGGTAATACTAGTGTGGCTCTAGGCAAATCATTTAACCTTTTTAAGCCTCAGTTTTATCATTTGTAAAATGGAGATAAGCATACCTACAGTAACCACTTCATATTGTTGTTATGAGGTTCAAATGGTATAACATTCAACATTTAAAGTACTTGGCAAACTTTAAAAAGCTATGTGATAGCTATTTTTATTGATTGTAGAAGCAAATTTTAAAAATCATAATTACAAGTCAAAATCATTCAATTAGAAAATGTTACTAACAACATGCAATTAGGACAATAGATATTTTTATCCACTTGATTTTTCCTGTGTGAATGATTAGGACCCTTGTGGGAGGACATGGAAAAGTCATACTGGAGGAAGAAAGGGTCCTGGTTTATGTTCTGCATTATTGGAGGGAATGTCAGTTGATGTAATCATAAATCCATTTGAAGAGCTGAGAATATTAACACACATGGAATAAAGCCACTGAGACTCTATTCTTCTACTGTTTTATGACTTCTGTCTTCTTCTGTGTATATAGGAGAGGCTTGAAGGACATATGCAAATATTACCTTATATTAAGATAAATTAACTGGAATAATTACTTTAAAAGGGTTTATTACAACCACGTATAAACAATTGTTAGAATCACCATTTATAGCTCTAATAGATAAAGACTTTGTACAACATAGTATGATTAAATTGTGAACATGTTACTGAGATGCCTGTCACGATGAAGCTTCAGGGCTTTGCTGAGCATCCAGAATTGCCTTGAACACATCCAAACACATCTGTTGTTTGTGGACTCTTATGTTTCTGGTTAGGCAGGGCTTGCTGACTCTCCCAAATGGAGTATATTTTTAGCCTTTCATTTTGGGTGGTTAGACATGTGCCTGAAATGTTTGATTAAGAGGAAGTTGCTAATCTCATTTGGACTGCGTGCTGAGAGTATAGTGGGAGCAGTTACTAGGAAGAATAACATTCCATCTCATTAAAAGCCAACAAAAAAAAAATAAAGGAAAGAAATAAAAGAAGCCCTGAAAAGCTCTGGTGGCTTGCTGCAATTTTGCTTTTCATTAAGTCACCTCCAGAAGTTCAAAATCCAAACAGTCTCCTATTCATTTTTACATAAATGACAATCATAACTTGTTTTATTGCTGCCTTTTTTTTTAACATAAAGAGCTACTTATGTCTGTCCATTTCAGTGAAAGTGACCTATGTTATTTATGGTATTTATACCTTGCTTATATGCATGTATGTTTGTGCTTTTGTATGCTTACTCCATAGTCCAACCTTGCAAATAAATTTTAAAACCTTTCACTACAAAGATTTACATAGATTTGTAGAAGTATTTGACCTTTTCCCATATGACTGAGCTCACATTACAATCATCTTTATCTGTTCAGTCATGTCTGACTCTTCATGAGCATGTTTGGGAATTTGTTGGCAGAGATATGGAGTGGTTTCCTTCTCTAACTCATTTTATGGATGAGGAAATTGAGACAAACAGGATGAAGTGACTTGCCCAGAGTCATATAGCTAGTAAGCATCTCAGGCCCGATTTGAACTCAGGAAAATGAATCTCCTGACTCTAGCCAAGCACTCTATCACTATATCATCTAGCTGTTCCTCATCTTTAGCTACACAGGTACATAAGCACAAACTTATATATAAACTTCCATGCTCATAGAATTAGGCCCATATAGATACAAAGAACATTTTATACTTGTGTACAATTATTCTTCCCACTATTAACATAGAATCATACTCATGTATATTTAGTCAGGATTTGAGAGTCCCAGTTTGTCTCTCCCTGTCTCTCTGGGGGAATCTCTCCCAAATGTGTGCGCTCACACATAAATCATAACTTGAAATTATGTCAGGTAAATGGGAGAAAAGAGAAGAGTAAGTATAGATTATCCTCTTCTATACCTAGACTAAATTGTAGCCTTCATCAATCAATAAAGAGTTATTGACTAAATCTTAAGTAAAATATCAGATTCAGTATTCTAGTATAACACATAAATACACTAAAAACCGGATTGTCTTACAGAGTCACAATCCCTCTCTTAGAATCACGAGTAATATAGACATAACTTCCAAAAACTCAGGGGATATTTCACTATTTTTGCAACTTCTCTTTTTCGCATAAAATTTTTGGATCTTAGAATTTCAAAGTTAAAAGGACTTTAGACATCTAGTCTTCCCTACATGCCAAAATTTAGTCTATCTATAACATGCTGAACAAATTGTAACCAGCCTTTCCTTGAAGACCTCAAATCAAAGGGAAGCCACTATTCTTTACTATTCTCCACATTCTCTTAAGGTAACTCATTCTATTCCTAGACAGTTTTAACGATTAAAAAAGTTTTCTTCACATTATATCAAAACCTATCTCCCTATAATTTCTGTCTATGGGTTGTTTTGCCTTCTTAGGTTAAATAACATATTTGTAATCCTTTTTCTAAAAAAGAGACTTCTCAGAAAATTGTATTTCCTCTACCCCACCCCCGACTCCCACCAAATTTCCCTCTTTACCAGGATAAACATTTCCTTTCCTTAAATTAACCCTAACGTGACATGGTTTTCAGTCACGTCACTGTCTTGGTTGCCCTTAACTGGATGCACTGCAAATTGTCAATACTTCTTTCTAAAATGTCACAATATCCAAAATATGTCTGACCAGGAAAACTATAACACTACCAACTCTATCAAGTAACATACTATATTTATATTAATGTAGTCTAAGATGGCATTAGATTTTTTTGGCTATGAAATTACACAACTGATTGATATTGAGATTGCCGTATATTTAAAGGCCCAGATGTTTTTCTCATGCATTATCTTTCTCAAACCCTATACCTGTGAGATATTTTTTTTTAGTCCAGGTTTTAAACTTACTAACTAAATTATCGCAATAGTATATTTAGTCCATTATTCTAGGCTACTGAGATCATGTTGGGATTCTAATTCTGCCATCTAGTAGCTTAGCAATCCAAGCATGATGTTTGTCCCTTCATCAATTCTTTGATAAAAATATTGAAGAGAATAGGGGCAAGTATGGTTCTGTGGGACATTCCACTACTGACTTCTTTCTACATTGACACCAATCGCTACATTTTGAGTCTGATGATTTAACTAGTTCGAAATCCCCCAAACAGTTCTAACCTCCAATTCATATCTTTCCCTATTGTCCCCCAGGAGACTGTTTGGAATTCTATTATGCAGTGTCTGCAGAGCTCCCCTGATCTGCCTATTATTTAGGTAATTCAATTAAAAGTAATAGCTAGACAATACTGAGATTTACTGAGTGTCACTCATATACCAAGTTTCCCCAAAAGTTGGCAGTCATGAACTTCTTAAAAGTCATGATGCAAAAGGAAAAACAATAACTTATTTGTGAGTTTGTTGGAATTTGGAGGAGCCTACATTTCTATCTATATTATTTTCAAAACTGATGTGATCATTAACAGAAAGAAAAATCCAGAACCATGGGAAAATATGAATATTAACCAGCCTCAAAAGCTTATTATAATTTACCAAAACTAGGAGCCTGTTGAAGAGCCATAGATGGTCAGATGGTGGAGCAAATGACAAGTCTATCCTTCAGAAGTGTATTCTGAATGTAGTGTAAGACTCAGGTCTTCCTGATTCCAGGTCTAGCCCTCTCTCCATTGAGCCATCTAGCTGTCTAGAGTCTTCTTCCTGAATTTGAATTTGGCCTCAGACACTTAACTATCTGTGTGACCCTGGACAATTCACTTAACACTATTTGCCTCAGATCTTCAACCGTAAAACAAGCTGGAGAAGGAAATGCCGAGCCTCTGTAATACCTTTGCCAAGAAACCCCAAATGGTGTCACAAAGAGTCAGACATGACTGAAATGACTGAACAACAACAAGAAGAAGTGGGGAAACTGCTAAATAATTGGAATTATACAAAAATTGACTGTCCTGAGAAGTTGGACTTCCTCTAGAGGCATTCAAGCTCAAATTAAATCTATATAACTATTTGTTGGAGACCTTACAGAAGAGATTTCTGTTGATATGCAGAGTGAACTAGAATGCATTTTACCTTTCCTACAGAAAGGCTGTAATTTTTCAATTCTATGAATTTATGAAGTGTACTTAAAATGAAAGATGTCAACATTAATTTAACAAAAAATTATGTGTTCTTATTGGAATTTGTATTTTCATGAAATTCATCTTGTATATCTTTCTAAATTTAAGCATATTCCAGATCCTCTCTTTCTTATGTTCTTTGTTACCTCCAGAAGAAGCAAATCTTGTAAGCAAGAGCTGGCATTACATTTCTTAAGGCAATTGGTGATGTGAGAATGTCACTTTTTAAAACTCATTTCAGTAAATTGTTTTTAGAAAGGAAAATGGGGATGTATGACTTTTATTTGACAAAAAAAAGAGGTCTTTAGAATGAATTATTTTTAAAAGTACTAATGAATTATTTAAAGTGTCACAACATCATATAGAATCTGTGTTTTCTGTAGTAATTGAGGTGTTCTGCTTATTTTGTAGTGATAACTGATTGGTCATATTAATTAATTTTGGCAAAGTATAATAATGTCTCCAATAACTTAATGCCTCCTTGCTTAACATTAACTTAATGTATTAAACATGTGGTGGTTTTTTTTTTCTGTTTTCTTCAGCTTATGAGTTACAAAATTGCCCTGATCCTCCACCATTTCAAAATGGGTATATGGTCAACTCGGATTATAGTGTGGGACAATCTATTTCATTTGAATGCTACCCTGGATATGTTCTAATAGGCCATCCTGTCCTTACCTGTCAGCATGGGATCAACAGAAATTGGAATTACCCTTTCCCACGATGTGATGGTATGTTATTAAATTTGTCACAGTAGTGCTCCTTCTCTATTTTGATACTATTGTGGGTTCTTTTAATATTTAAAAAATGTTTTTCTGCACACTCACCATTGTCTATGTTAACATTCATGCATTTAATTATTATTTATTGTACAAATTATTTATTTGTGCAAATGTGTTGTTCAAATAATTACTACTTATTGTGTTGTTGTGCTAGGCTTTGTAGAAGAATATGAAGATAAAGAAGATATAGTCCCTCTTTCAAGTAACTTATAGTAAGGCAAGTTTATACATATCTGTAATAGATGCTAGGATATTAGTTCCTTCTTTTAATAGAGAGTTACTATAGGACTCACAGAAAAGAGATAGATATCTAGTTTGGGAGGTAGAGGGTAAGAAGCTAGAGGTCAGCTATTTGTACGAGGAGAAAGCTTGAAACTTTGGAAAGATTTAAAGAGGCAAAGATAGAGAGGTGGGAGGCACTAGGTGAGTGAAAAAGGTGAGTATTTCAGTTAGAGGAATTATCAAGAACAATGATGCAGAGGCAAGAAGGTAAGGACTTTATTTGGGGAGCTATAGTCCAATTTAGTTGAAATACAGGTTTCATCTAGGGGGAACAGAGGTAGACAAGCCTTGAAAAGTAGTACTTTAGAACATGAGTACTAAAGTCCTTGAATACATACATTCATGTGTTTGAGGGGGAATTGATCAATTAAAACTTAGGGTGGTTATAATAAATTATAACACTTAATTAGAAAGTGAATCGAGTTGAGGATTACAGGTTTAGGACACTGCATATACTTTCAGACTCAGAAGATCTGTTGTTTAAATTTTTGTAAATTTTTCTGAATTTTTCCCTCTCTTATTTTTATTAATTGTTATAAAGCATTTCCTCCTGGGTAGGAAAGTAGGCAGAGATATATTTGAGAATAGAAAAGAATGTTATACATACATACATACATACATACATACATACATACATATATAATTTTAAAAAAAACAACTATATCCCTTTCCACGAAGTGCCTAAGACACAGGGATTGGAATAAGGATTGTATCTGTGATTTTATTGGTATAGGTAACTCTCAAGAGAGGGCCTATGAATATAGGTCAGCACCTTTTTCTGAAAGTTAGAGTCTTAGAGAATCCTCTAGAGTAGCAAAATGTGGTTTGAGCACCCTTGCAGGTCTCCAAGACTTTTTCAGAGAATTATTTGTTCCTCATCATAGGCCAAAGGTCAAAACTATTTTCATAACAATACATTATTTTCCTATTAAATGCTATCATTTCCAACTAAATATTTGTATGAGGCTAGAATTTTTTTTCATATACTTTAACAAAAACAATATATCACAACAGAGTGAATACAAAAGAAGATATGAGAATCAAGCTACTTTCTTTCAAAACAGACATTAAAGAGATTTTAAAAATATGCAAAACTATGTTACTCTTCTCACTAGATATTTTTTATTTTGAAAAATAATTATTTTCATAAAAATGTAATTTATATTAACATCATGGGTTTATTATTATTAGTTAAATTAATTACTACATGAATATTTTAACATTTTATTAATTTTACTCTTTTAGTATAGAAAGTATTGATGGATGTAATCTGTATAAACAAAAACTATTTGGAATCCTCAGTAATTTTAAGTGTGTAAAGAATTCCTGAGACCAAAAATTTTGAGAACCACAGGCCTAAGGCACTGAGAGTAAGTGACTTGCCCAGGGTTATATAGTCAGTATATATCAGAGGTCTAATTTAAACCAAGTTCTTCCAGCTTTCAGGCCATCTCTCCATCCACTATGCAATACTGCCTTTATTTGTTTAATTGAATTATGCAAGATATGAATGAATCACAGAGACTATAATAAAACTGACATTTTAATACTGATCAATGCAGTTTCCTTCTATGAAAATAATGAAATTATCAGATTTGCTGATCTTTGAAATGCTAAATACACTTAGGCCAGTGGTCTAAAAGGAAAGGAGTCTAGCTGTGTGCGGATTTCAGTTGAAGGTTCAAAACACAAATATGTAGACATTTTTCATTATCTCTCATATTTTCTCATTGCTAGCCTGAAAAAATATCTGCATTAAATAATTCCCTAATCTTCAGACTTTCACGTACTTAATAACCTATAGACAAAGCATTTTCTAAAATTGATATTTTAGAAGAAATAAACATAGTAGTGGTATCCATTGTTTCAGATATACCTGGCTCTTTTTCCCATTAGAAACTAAGTTTTTCTATGAAGACTTTCAGTTATAGTCCCCTATTTAAAAGTTTGTATTATTCTAAAGTGAAATCAACCAGCAAATTACTTTGAACTTTTCAAGCTAATACATTTGCTTGTTCCATTCAATTTTAGTTTGAATTCCTTAGATTCTGTCATTCAAGTTAAAAATTCTTAGAGCAAAGAGAGTTTTGTCTTTAACACCTTTTTTTACACTTATGAAGACACAAATGATAAAGACTTACAACAGTGAGATCAGATAAAATCATCACTAACTCAGCAATGTATGAATTTCTTACCAAAACCAAGTGGAAGACTAAGAATCCGGTGTTCAGAATCCAGGCTCAGGATTAGGCTATTAACGTGACAAAAATAATTTGTCATTTGAATTTTCTATAAAGATGGCAGCAAAAGAGATAGTGCATCATAGTGAATAGAGACATGTAACTGGAGATGAAGAACAGACTTCCTTAACTTCACTCTATTGACTGTGTGACCCTGAGAAATTTCTCAAAGACACAGATATCGCTTTAAGGCAATAAATTGCAGGGAAAGTACTTACTTGTATTGGAGGATGCGACTTTCTTCAGAAGTTCCCTTTTCAGTGAAATCACAGACTCAGATAACTTTTTTTCTTTTATCTAACTCCCTAAACCACCCCACCCCCAAGCTAGAAGGCCCACTGAATAGAGGTTTGGGCCTGGAATCAAGGAGACCTGGGTTCAAATTTGACCTCAGACACTTGCTAGCTCTGTAACTCTGGGCAAGTTACCTAACCTCTGTTTGCCTTAATCCACTGGAAAAGCAAACCACTCCACTATCTGCCAAGAAAACTCCATGGACAGTATGGTTTATAGAATCATGAAGAGTCAGAGACAACTGAACAATAGAAACAAACCTCACCTCCCCCATAATGCAACCAAGACAGTTTTGGTACAATGGCATTACTTTCAATATCAATTGTTATAAAACAAAACCTAGGGGGAGGAGCGTCAGACTTCCTCATTTTTTGGTAATATCTAACAGTGTATTTATTATTTTTGCAATTATACATATTTTTTCTTTGAGTTGGTTCATTTATGCTTGCAGTCTAGTTTTCATCTAATCAAGTTATCCATTTTATTTTCTATAATAAAAAACTGTGATATTGTATTTTTATGATTGATTCTCTCTCTAAAACTAAAAATCTTACTTTATTTGAAGAAAAAAATGAAATCTATGTATAATTACATTATCATACTACGGACTAATTCTATTGAAGAGAGTAGAATGATACCAAAAGTGGTTTACTGAGTAGAATCTGATGTATATTAAAATTCTCTCTTCTCTGTATATTTAATCTCCAAACTCAAGGAATCATCCTCAAACCAGAGGTGTTTTATTGGTAAAATATAATATTTCTGTAGGAAAAAAAGATAATGTAGGCATAGTGGATAGTGCGAGAGACTTATGGTCAGGAAAGCATGTGTTTGACTGCTACCTAATCCACATATTAGCTGTATGATTCTGAGAAAGTCATTTAAGTTCTCTGAGATTCTATTTCATCATTTATAAAATGAGGATGCAATAGCAATTAACACATAGGAATGTTATGAGGATCAAATAAGATTATATATATGTAAAGACCTTTATAAACCATAAAGAGCTATCTAAAAGGCATTATTACTGTTGTTAGTAATAAGAAGAATGACTAAAATTTTCAGCTAATACTTAGGTTGACCCATTTAGCATCATAAGGTTTGGGAAGGATAGCTCTGACAATGCTACTATAAGGTATATAGGAGAAAGAGTATTATTCTCATCTTTATGATGATAATGATGCTGATGATGATTAGGAGGATAATTACAACTGGCATTTATAGAATGTTTTAGGTTTTGTAAAACATTTTACATGCCTTATGTCATTTGCTTTTCACTAATGTACTCTGAAGTAAGGATTACAAATGTTACTATTTTCACTTTGCAGAAAACTAAAGCCCATTTAATAGAGAATTTAAATGGTATATGCAGTTTCACCCAGTTACTAAGTGTCTAATACAAGCTTTGAACCCCTCATAGTCTTTTTGACTCCAGAGAATTGGAGCACTTTATCCACTACAGTACCTGGGGATCAAAAAAATTGATTGACTTTTATATCATAAGCAGATAGGATATATAGAAATTGTAACTCAAATCCATTTATCTGGACTCTGAGTCTAGTGTTCTTTCCACTATTTCCTGCCTATTTCTTTTTCCTGAAAGATTGTAAAATAATAGGTGGTTAATAAACAAGCAGTGCTTTTGACATTCCCTATCTACTCCCCTAGATTCTGTCTTTTTAATCTAGAATTTCTTAAAAATATATTCTTCACAGATTTATTATTTCTATATAGAACAAACACATTGAGAAATATTATCGCTACTAAAACAGACAAAATAAAATTTAAATGCAGTAGACTTATGAGCATCTAATGAAAGAAACAGGTCCTTGGAAAACTCTCCTTTTGAATTCTTCTCCAGTACTTTTCAAGAATCCTATTTTTGTATCAACTCAAGTGTTGCCTATCAATGAGCCTTTACTAAATGACTACTATGTTGCAGGAATAGGGAATCTGAAAGTAAAAAATGAAATATTTCCTTCCTTCAAAAAGTTAACATTCTATTATCAGAGACAATATATGTATATTTAAGTATATTCAAAGTAAATAAAAATTAATTTAGGGGAGGAGTGGTATAAGTCTTGTGGGGTTTTCTCTTGAGCTGAACTTTGGAGAAATCTAGATATTCTAAGA